CGTAGCTCAAGATACATCATATTTTTTCGAATGTCTTTGGGGGACTGATTGGTTCCAGGCGAGATTGAAACCGCATTTCAGGTCGGTTGAAGCGGCTTTTTAGTTGTCACTTACACATTTCTTGTACTTCTTTCGTTACAGAAAATTTATCTTTGTTTAAAGAATCTAGATTCTTGTGTTCTTATGCAGCTTTGACGGTGCTCAAGAGAGTAGCATCATAAGTTCTGAAAATTACAATAAAGACATTGATGAATCAAGTAATGAAGAGGCCAAATTCTGCCCTTAATTTTATACTGTATTAGCACAAAGTAGGGCTTGCGATAGTATCGTATTTTTCTCCAAACTCAGCTTACAACTACTTGGTCCAATAAGAGCTTAACAACACGATGAAGAGAGCATGGTAACAGACTTAATTTAATGCATAAACGTGATGAAAAGAGTTGTTTGGTTGTCGTTTAAGTTTATATAAAAGCTTGTGTCGATGGTATGAAACCAATCAAATCATGGAATGCATGATTAAGGTCACAAAATCTGTCCATAAGAAATGGGTATGACAGCGACTGGCCGCCACTGTTGTCTCGGTGTTTTATAAATTTTGCTACATAATGATTTCCAGTTTTGACATTTTCTGTAATGCTGGGAGAGACGAAAGCCCAGCAGAAATGCATCGGTGTTACAGAAGACTAAATTAAGAATTACTACGCACAAATCGACTTTCGCATCTGCAAAATAATATTTTCTCTACTCCGCCTTTCATACAAGCAGCACAGTTCCAAAACATTGTAGACCACCTTTTTTGAGTGTCCCGTTTAATAAAAGAAACAAGCTAAGCAGAAGTATGTAGATGAAAACTACAAATAGGAGCTTTTCGTCCTTACTTCTGTTCTTTCTAACCATCGTCATGGGTTCAGGGTTGAATTGGGGAAATCAATGGTACCAAAAAATCTGCGTTTACTAAGCCTAAACTAGAGAGAGCATCAAGTGAGAAGATCAAGTAAGACTTTAGCTTAGATCAACCATCCATTAGCATTATTATTATTTTGTAATGTTAAGAACGCAGATGAGACAGAGCAATACTTTCATGCAAGATAGGTGGTCACTTTTGTAACTACTTTCTCAGATGTCTACAAACATGGAGCAATTACCGAGGACTATGCACAAAGAGCATAATGCAATTATGGAAGATCTACAGATCAAGCAATTTCATGCAGAGTCACTTCAAAATGGATTATCTGAACGTAAGACAGCAGTTGCATGTGTCGCTGGGCGGACGAATGAGTTAATGCAGTTGATTCATGAGGCCAGATGAGTGATCCTGACCCGAACTTCACAGTACGGCGTAGAAATCGACAAAATTCCCATCAAACTGTGTAGGAAAGTATTGCAAACAGGACGTATTGAAATTGCGCTAGAGGTACTGATGGGTTCGAAATGGCTTTCCAGTTCATTCTGGAATAAAATACCGTTTGGGAAATTCACAGGCCTCCTCAGACCTACTCATATGAATGTGGGATTGACTACTCAATAACACTATGATCGTAAAGTGTGCAACGGAATCGTGTGGCGACTAATAGAAAATATAGTATTCGCTTACGAGTAGAAGGAAGGCCTCCTGTTTATGCATTTTCTCAAATACCACCAGAAAGATAAGGAACGGATCTACGAGACAATGAGAGGATCAGCCGATCGAAAGAGGCCACACTAGATTTGACGAGTAGAGTGTAAACAAGTGAGAAGTTGTGATAGAACGAGAGTGAGATAAGAAGGTAAATAGTAGATAGATAGATAGACCAGGACAGATAGTGTAACCGTTTTCTGCAGAATCTTGATGGAAGGATTGACTTCACTTGTCTCGTTGACGAGTTCGTAGGTTAGTGCGGAGAATGGCGAAACGTTTGAGAATCATGACAACTACTATGGCAGACGACTTCGGACTAGGTGCGTTCTACTAGATCGTCATGACAACAAGACCAAGGTCAGCCCACTTCTGCCACAAAATTTTGGTTTTATATTTTCAATTAAAGTTTCAATTTCATTTTCCGGGGTCGCTATTTATGCAATAATCTGGAAAGGTTTGTGGTTTTTTAGAACCTCAACTTCTTGTCGCGTTTGGGAAATGTTGGGAATTACGAATTATGCTACGGACAAGGCCTTTTTTGTCAGCTTATTCCCATGTTTCCCGTGTTTTTGTTACTGCATAATAGGCAAATAAAAAATACTTTTAGTGGTACAATTAAACTGAAGTCATCTTCTAAGCAGATCCAATCGCATTAATAACGAAGAAGCACCAATTAGTGTTTTTTATGCAATGATCTGGAAAGGTTTGTGGTTTCTTAGAACCTCAACTTCTTGTCGCATTTGAGAAATGTCGGGAATTACTAATTATGCTACGGACAAGGCCTTTTTTGTCAGCTTCACCCCATGTTTCCCGTGTTTTTGTTACTGCATAATAGGCACACACAAAAATACTTTTAGTGGTACAATTAAACTGAAGTCATCTTCTAAGCAGATCCAATGGCATTAATAAAGAAAAAGAACTAATTAGTGTTTTTTTGCCAAGGTAACTTGTGACGCCCACTTGACGAATAGACAATAAATAGCGAAAAATAATCTGGCTCAAGTCTCTCCTGTTGCTAAGTGATAGCACAATATCGTTATTGATGCTAGGGCTGCCTCTTAAAGACAGCCAAGCTGAGATTGGTTTCTGACTCTGAGAATGTCGACCGCATGACCGATGAAAGCTCATGCGTTTTGGCAAGCAAATTGAAAAGTGGGCACCCCAGCCTCAATTTGTTACGGCATTTCTCGGCAGCCAGTTTCTCTTTTTGTCCACAACGTTGTTGCCGTTGTCTGTTACGTCGCGAGGAGCAGCTTATGGCCGCCAGAACCGGCCAAGTGGGGCTCCGATCCGAACTGGCTGTCCGTCGTTGCTCGGAGAGCACTGTCTATTGGCAGCGCCGAAGCCTATCGAAATGGTGCACCGACACTCTGGCCTCTCTCCACAACCCCGAGAGCCGGTCGCCTACGCTTTGGTATGTCTGAGAAATGCGCTGCCCTATCGACGAGACGGCAGAAGACCGTCTGTCGCTGGGCTCGGGGTGAGGCGGACCACAAGGTCCCTTTGACGACGTCTCTTAAGTGCACCTACCGACGGTCTCCAGGCCGGCCGGAGACAGAGCCTCAGAGCTGGCCTCGATCCGACGCGAGCCTGGCCGTCTGGTCGTCTGCCTGACCGCCTCGGGACTCGACTTCACGACCACTCGACGCTCAGCGGCTAACCAGCCTCGCGAGGGCAACGATTCCCTTTGACTCGCATCCCATTCGCCGGCCAATCTGCAGCCAACCGGTACCATTGGCTCGTCAGCCACAAAATCAGTCTCATCCTTGGGCTTGGCCAGCTCGAGAATAGGGAAAATTTACTCTTTTTGCTTTTTTGCTTTTTTGCTTTTTTGCTTTTTTCTGTCTCCCAGAGACGATGCCAATGAGCCAAAAGCTCTGCCACCGTCTTCACCAGTCGCTTCTCCACGCACGTGTCAGATGCACCCGAACCTCTGGCACACATGGTCGCATGCATGTTTTGTAGACACACACACACACATACATACACACACACACATACAAACATATAAACAGGCATATGCATAAAAATGGACATACGCAAACACCCGGGAAGCCCGAGCGGTGACGTCCAGAGACGAAGATGCTCACTCGGAGACAGCAACGAAGATGCTCACTCGGAGACAGCAACGAAGATGCTCACTCGGAGACAGCAACGAAGATGGAAGCGTCTGACCGTTGGACGAGAGTGCAGGTACAGGTGGAGCCCAGTTAGCTCGTCCGGGGCGCCAAGGCGGTTGGTTGATTGCAAAATCAGGCCTTGACGACCGGTTTTCTTGCCTCGGTCACACCTGTCCCTTTGCTCGGTTCTCCCACACCCTCTACGCCTCAACCACCCACCCCCCCTCCCCATCCCATAGCCCACCACGCCCACCACCCTCCCTAGTTCATACCCCTACC